GGGGGGATGAGGGTCCGCATTCTCGACGCACGACTCTGCGAGATATCGTTCGGTATTGCGCATTAGAACAACCGATACATGGATGACTTTGACTCGCCGGTGCTCTCGCACGAGGCTGGGGGATGGGAAATTCGCGAAGCCTCTCAGTGGGATGAGGAGGCTGACGAATCGGGGGATGGGGGATTCTCGAAGCCTCTCAGTGGGATGAGGAGGCTGACGCGCGACCACTGCGAGATAACGTTCGAGGTCGAGTCGCCTGCCGTCCGAAACCTGCATGGGAAGGGTATCGTTTTTCCTGGAATCAACCTCGACGCAAAAGTCGTCGAAACCGCTAAGTTAGGGACAAAAATTCTGGAAGATTACTGCAGGACTGCATCAGCGATGCTGCGCAATTCTGCGAGATAACGTTCAAGGTCAAACGGGCTGAGGGCTGAGTCTGAAACCTGCACGAACGTGCACGGGTCCGTCGAAGCTTCTGGAAGGCTTTCCGGGATGGGGGGCAAGGGGCTGTCTCAAAACGTCGCGCGAGAGGACCACCGGCTCTGGGAGCGATGCTTCCTGACTTAGCACGGACACGAACCGTCGAAGCTTCCAGAATGTTCTAGAAGGTTCTAGAATATTCTAGAAGGTTCTCTCTCAAAATTCCCGGAATCGAGCGAAAATTCTTGGAATCGAGGGTCCTGATGACGTCACTTCCAGAAATCTTAGAGCTCACGACGGTAAGTTAGCACGGACACCCACCTTCGAAGGCTCTGGAGTGTCAGTATTATGTCGGTGCAGGAATCTGTATCCAGAACTCCCCAACTTATACTACTCCAGTCATTTACTTTATTTTTTATGCATCAAAATATACGGTCTCTGTGAAAAACGCGGATTTTCGGCGTTTTCGCCTTGACCGTTAGCATTAAAGTATTAGAAAAGGAGAGCGATTAGCCTCCACCCCATTTCCTCTTTGTTTATTTACGCGGACACTTTTTTAAAGCATTTGATTAGGGATCGCGTAATTCATACTATATGTATATCGATGGTTTTATCTCTATCCCATGTATACAGGTAAACAGATACTAAGTTTACACGTACGGGGTTTTAAAACGGATTAACCAAGCACGTTGGATTGTTTTTTTTTAAATCTTACGCGCGATTGGTTAATCCTTTTCAAAATCCGTGCGTGTAAACCATTTGTGTAAACTTCCTCTTACAGTTAGTTCTGTTACCTGTACCCATATGTTTATTTACTTAAATGGTAAGTAAACAAAAATCCCGGACTCTCTAAAAGTACGTAATAGTAAAAAATGTCTTAAGAAAGAAATGCAGAGACGTATATCGCCTTATTTCGCCCACAGAACATCCTCACCAAATTCTAGCTCTCTCCCACTTCCGGTGTACAAGTTAGAACATAGTTGCCAAATCCTGGATTGTGTTTGTTATTTAATTCGGATTTGTTTGTTCTTATTTCTGTCTTTCAAATCATTTGATTTTCAGAATAAAATTGTAATAAATACGCAATTAGTTCAACAAAATAATTGCGCAAATATGTATTTAATGACTCTTCTTGCAGATTCTATGTAATTAATTATGTGGATCATAGAAGTCTTAAATATCGTGTATGTTTAGATTTCGAATAATTAAAATTATAATGAAGACATACAATCTTAATAGAAATAGTTGTTCCCGTTTATTATATGAATGCTTTTATTCTATTTTAAGCACATTCTACAAGGCACAATGCTCTAGAAGATAGTGTGAATATCAATCTTTATGACATTAGGCAGCAGAGAATTTCTTTTTTTTTTCATTTTTGGACTCTGAATAGGATTCCACTGTGCTTCTAATATGGGGATGTTCACACTAGATACAAGTGGCAAGATATCTTCAACATTTCTATGGTTCCCGGAGATGTACAGGAATCTACAATTTGAAGTATTTTTCTGAATAGCAGGATGATCGAACTATCTCGAATAATTGCGTTACATTCTGGAAAAATGCGAAAGAGAAATAAATCTGTGAAATCTTTCATGTCTCGAGAACCGATTATACATATGGCAGGTTTCTCAGGTAGGAAAGTTTAGGTTAGTTGTATTTCGGAAGTTGTATTTCCAGAATTTCATCGTTTATTCAACTACTTACTATTGTCGTTTCGCTTACTTTACATATAAGCAGAATAATATAAAGATGCACACCAGTTAAGAACTTTCTCGCCACCTTTGTCCACGTGGACGAACAATTACTGACAGACATAATGCTCATTTCCATATTTGCTTCTCAAGATTATTGATTCCAGGTAATGAAGTCAGCTAATTATTTTCTCATAGTAAATCTTATTGAGTTTACACTGGGCGCTGGAACTGAAGATTGCAAATAAAAAAGTATTTATAAGATTATAAGAACCAGCGGCAGCAGTAACAGCAATAGGAGACCCCTCAGCGAGAGAGGATCCGCAATCGCTCAAGTCGCCGGTCGCGCGGCACGAGCGGGCGTTTAAAATATTAGTCGATTCTGTCATAGATAAAATTTCAAAAAAAATATATAAACTTAAAATAAAGTTTGGGCAACCTAGAAAGGTTAAAAGAGAGGAACCTTGAACAATTTTTGTAGTAAAATGAAAGAAAAAGAAGATGAAAAGAGAGTTCTTCATGAGGGATCGAACCCGTAACCAGCAGTGGTATATCTTGACAGGTTATTGACTCAGCCACGACGGTCCTTTAATTCTAAATTAAATTTTCTATAGATATTTATCTATGATATTTCAAAATTTCTCTTTGAACTGTTCTCGGTCGTTTCATTTACCAACGAATTTCGCCATTCATTTTTTAATGTTTACTTTCGGCATGATAAGAGGTAAAGAGTGAAAACCAATATTTCTATGCATTTTCTATAACTTTCAAATTTATTTGAATATACACATTTGTTTGCACATTACGTCCATACCAATGTTTAGGGTTCGGTTGGACTGAAGACCTTGCTGCCCCGCCTGTTTGTCAAGAACGGTTTGTGAGGGGCGGCAACTTTTTCCCCATCACCGAGCAATCCATTCATTTTCGCTTACTGTAATATCGACTGGAACGATGATCATGACCCGCGCGGCTACGTGAAATCTGTAACATCGACAGAGGCGATGATCACGAAATCCTACTCCCGGACTCGCCGCTACGATTTAGCGCCATGCTTTTGGTATCGCCTAAAACCGGAGCGTTGTGCGTCTCCCCACTCATCTCTGCCACGTGACCTTGTAAACGACCTCTAGTTTGCCATTGCCCATTGGCCTTCCGTCATTGACTTGGTTTGGCAGGGAAGCCGTTTGAGCTCGAAGAAATCGTATTGCCACACACAAATTTTTATTTAAAACGTGATGTTGCGCACCACGACAAGTCTCCGAAATGAACTTCAAAAGGCAACATTTCGAATTAGCGCACGGGCTAACTTTGTCAGGTTTTTTGGATCCCGTTGTCTTGTTCATAGAAAACATCTGCAAAGGTATGGCTCTGCATTGCAGACATAGAATCAATTCACTGTGCACATTAATTGAGTTGACATTCCGCTGATTTCATTCAAGTTCAAAAATTTCAATCAGATTTATCTTTATAAATGGTCTATGAACTGCTTGTTCACTTAAAATGCCAGTTTGTTACAATTTGAAAACTTGATTTAAGGTTAAATTATATTGCTTCTATTGTGTCATATTCTTTCTATGAGAAGTCACATAATATGATGATTTGTCATATAATCTGACTTTATCAATGTGACAGAGTGATTCATTTTGAGTTTCAATATTAGATCTTATACAGGTCTTATATATGACAAGATATAAATTCTAACGTCTAAGTTCCCATTCATTCTCATATTGCATGTGCCTGATGGATTCATTAAGCAATTCTTTATATTAGGAAAAGTAATGATAACTTAAACGTACCTTGCAAAGTAACTTGGCCTAATAGATTTCATAACAGATTTCAGGTACTTAATGTACCAAGCTATAACTTTCAAATTTATTTGAATATACACATTTGTTTGCACATTACGTCCATACCAATGTTTAGGGTTCGGTTGGACTGAAGACCTTGCTGCCCCGCCTGTTTGTCAAGAACGGTTTGTGAGGGGCGGCAACTTTTTCCCCATCACCGAGCAATCCATTCATTTTCGCTTACTGTAATATCGACTGGAACGATGATCATGACCCGCGCGGCTACGTGAAATCTGTAACATCGACAGAGGCGATGATCACGAAATCCTACTCCCGGACTCGCCGCTACGATTTAGCGCCATGCTTTTGGTATCGCCTAAAACCGGAGCGTTGTGCGTCTCCCCACTCATCTCTGCCACGTGACCTTGTAAACGACCTCTAGTTTGCCATTGCCCATTGGCCTTCCGTCATTGACTTGGTTTGGCAGGGAAGCCGTTTGAGCTCGAAGAAATCGTATTGCCACACACAAATTTTTATTTAAAACGTGATGTTGCGCACCACGACAAGTCTCCGAAATGAACTTCAAAAGGCAACATTTCGAATTAGCGCACGGGCTAACTTTGTCAGGTTTTTTGGATCCCGTTGTCTTGTTCATAGAAAACATCTGCAAAGGTATGGCTCTGCATTGCAGACATAGAATCAATTCACTGTGCACATTAATTGAGTTGACATTCCGCTGATTTCATTCAAGTTCAAAAATTTCAATCAGATTTATCTTTATAAATGGTCTATGAACTGCTTGTTCACTTAAAATGCCAGTTTGTTACAATTTGAAAACTTGATTTAAGGTTAAATTATATTGCTTCTATTGTGTCATATTCTTTCTATGAGAAGTCACATAATATGATGATTTGTCATATAATCTGACTTTATCAATGTGACAGAGTGATTCATTTTGAGTTTCAATATTAGATCTTATACAGGTCTTATATATGACAAGATATAAATTCTAACGTCTAAGTTCCCATTCATTCTCATATTGCATGTGCCTGATGGATTCATTAAGCAATTCTTTATATTAGGAAAAGTAATGATAACTTAAACGTACCTTGCAAAGTAACTTGGCCTAATAGATTTCATAACAGATTTCAGGTACTTAATGTACCAAGATTAGCTTCACCATCATGGATCCAACAGAGGTTCTTTTCAGACTTGCCAGACCATGTCAAAGTGACACTGCCAGCATTATCTCCAACTATGGAAAATGGCACGATTGTCAGTTGGCATAAAAAAGAAGGTTAATTGAATAGTGTTACTGATCTTTACTTTACTACGAAGATTGCAGGACATTATAATACATATTCTGATGATGTTCAAAACTATTCTTTTCTTATACATAGTCCCATTTCTTTGATCTTTGTTTTACTAGGAGAAAAACTTAATGAAGGTGATCTTCTGGCTGAAATTGAAACAGACAAAGCCACAATGGGCTTTGAAACTCCAGAAGAAGGCTATCTAGCAAAAATTTTAGTACCTGCTGGAACAAAAAACGTAGCCATTGGAAAACCTGTCTGCATAATTGTTTCTGATGAAGCAAGTGTAGCCGCATTCAAAGATTTTAAGGTTGACGATACTTCAACTGCAACATCTGCCCCGGCTCCACCTATGCCCACTTCTAAAGTTGCATTTTCACCTACACCCGTAACTACAACAGCAGTGGCACAGGCACCAATATCTGTTTCTTCAATGTCTGCAGTTTCTGGAGACCGAATCTATGCTAGCCCACTTGCAAGGCGACTTGCAGCAGAACAAGGACTGACTCTTGAGGTAAACACGATTGATTTTACTTTATCACTACAATTTGTAATGGTGTCGTTTGTAAAAAGGGCTTGAAGGGTACTGGACTGTTTGGGTCAATAACTTCAAAAAATTTGGAAGGTGCATCACTTGCTCAGTCGGTTTTGGGAGCAACAAATATTGCAGGTGGTCAGGATATTGCGGTATCAAATATTCGCGGTGTCATAGCTAAAAGGTTACTAGAAAGTAAACAAACCATTCCCCATTATTATTTAACTGTCGAAGTCAAAATGGATGCTGCTTTAGCCATGCGGGAACAATTTAACAAGATTATGGAAAAGGAGAAGGTGAAACTGAGTGTCAATGACGTCATCATCAAAGCAATTGCCATGGCGTGCAAGAAAGTGCCTGAAGGAAATAGTGCGTGGCTTGGAAACGTCATCCGACAGTGAGTTTCTAAAACATTTTTTTCTCCTGAAGTTCTATTATTATTTTTTGCATAATAATCACTCCGTACTTTTTTCTTCCAATTTACATCAGATACGAGAACGTAGATGTTAGTGTAGCTGTGAGCACTGACGGCGGATTAATTACGCCAATCGTCTTTAGTGCGGACAATAAAGGCATTGCGCAGATAAGCAAAGATGTAAAAACTCTCGCTGCCAAAGCCCGCGAGGGTAAATTGCAACCGCACGAATTTCAAGGTGGCACAATCACTGTATCGAATTTGGGAATGTTTGGTATCAAAAATTTCTCTGCTATTATCAATCCACCGCAGTCTATCATTCTGGCAGTTGGCACTACCGAATCGAGGCTCGTACCTGCTAATAACGAAAAAGGGTGAGAAAGAATAAGTATTTCAAATAAATATGACAGATACTAAATCTAAGTTTCAGACTGAATGACTTCATCAATTTTTTGTTTGGTTTGTATGAAGGTTCTTAATCGCTTCGTATATGTCTGTAACCGCAAGTTGCGATCATCGTACGGTGGACGGAGCTGTGGGTGCTCAATGGCTGGCAGCCTTCAAATCGCTTCTGGAAAATCCAACGACAATGCTCCTTTAGTAAGTCTGAGAACAAATCCGTACCTAATACAGAAGCGTCTGAACTGTTTAGTACGGACTGACGTTAGTACATATGTCAGTAATGATAGATTATTTTATTAGTGGTCACATTTTACTATTGTCATTGAAGTGACACGAATTTGACGAACCGAAGTTTATCAACTATTCCGAAACTGTTTTAATTATTTTAATTATTTCTGCTCCGACAAATCATAACATATTTACATATAAACTGCAGTACCTTCTGATTATTCATTTATCAATGTGCTATATTACTTGTGTTGACTGACACTAACATGAGTATACTTTAGGAAACTCCAAATAGTACATGATATCTTGTTAATAAGAAAGAAAAAAAAAGATGGCCAAGGCCAGAAAGGATTAGTTATGCGTAGAATATGTACGATTATTGAATGTGTTAAACAATTTGTAAGATAGTCCTCGTAATTTGTCAAGTACAAATCGAACGAATCTTTTCGTGTTTTAGGCGCAAAGCTCTAATACTTTTATTTCCACAATCCGATTTAAAATAGATCCGAAAGGATATTGAACTAGTCTGGAACAGTTGAATGGACCTACAAAAGTTTGTACTGCTTTCTTATAAATCCGAAAGGTTCAAACATTCATGAGCGGGCCCGCGCGAACGCACAACTGTTCGACATCTTGGACATACATATATAATATTTGTGTAAAAGCACACCCCTCTTGGAATACATGGATTAAACTTCCGCTAATCAAATAGTCTTAGAAGTCTAATCGGATAAGAATTGTGTGGAGAAAAATGTGTACAGAAAAAAATGATATATATATATATATATATATATATATGTTGATCTAAGTATTTAATAAATTATATCTTATGATACAAGTTAGCTTCTTATTATTATAAGACGAATTGTGCTAAGAAGGATGCTAAATAACCGGTCTGATCCTGACGATTCTCTTTTGTTTATATAAAGCTAGCACCTTATTAATCTTAGACTCGAAAAGCCTGAGATAACCCTTACAATAACATTTAAGGTTTTAGGCATCTTTTTTATTTTCTTTGTGTAAGTATATATATTTCCCAAATAGTATAATAAAACTTAGGATGCTTGAAGCAAAAAACTGAAATCTTTATCACATTTTGTTTCATTAAAAAAGAATTGAAGTAGAAATAATATACAAATGTTTTTTGGCGACTCATGATGAAATATTTTCCCATCCGTAGTTACTGATACAGCATTTAGTATGTCGCACAGATTGTAGGACGTAAAGTTGACATTTTGATGCATAAAATAATTCAGTAAAATTATCAATTTCAATTGCATTATTAAATCTGGGTTTTCCATGGCAAATTTTGATACAATAATTTTGGTTCGCACTACCTACAATTAATTTTTTTTAGTTTTCTCTAGATTCTCAGTCTTTTCCGAAAATGTCAAGTCTACAAAATTTGTGTATCATTTAAATCAAATTACCACGAAGTCGTCAGTACTATCTTCGTTATATGGATCAACTAAGTATTAAGTGCGTGGTCTATATGTAGACCATTTCTTTTTTATGCGTGGGAATTCGTATTAGGATTATGCGCATAAAATTTGTTTAATTTATTTCACCCATCAACCAAGTATCCAATAATTGAACCAAGTATTTTATATAATTAAATACAGTCCAATAAACGTATTAGTTACTTAGTTTGCAAGAAAAAATCAATTTTTTATTTGATAATTAAAATTGTCTACAACCGTAGAACAGGCGTCTAATCTAATAAAATCTATGCGCCCAACAGAGTTGGATCCACGTTATGTGGATCTACGTATGGTTTGGTCGAGATTTTATTGTCTTCGAACTGTCAGAGACATTTTTTACGTAGACCAATTATACTGGTTATAGTGGGCACAAGATATATGCTATAAACAGTATAAAAATTTTGGAGCGTGTGATGTGGCTATCAGACACAATACATGTTAATTGGCCCTCTGTCAATATCTTCTCGATGCTTACGGGTTAAGATCGATTGCAGAGCAGTAATGAAGAGTATAAAGTTTAACAATAATGTATATTTCTAGTTTAATTCACATTTATTTACGCAGTGAAGTGTGATTGGATAGGAAATAAGATGTTGGCAGTGACACGTTTGGTTCTTAATTAAATAATGTTTAATCTGAGAGTAGACGCGTGGGGTGTCTGAAACACCCTTACTCAATGCTTTTCAAATGAAAAATAAAATCTCAAGACCATTCCCGGGATAAGCAATGATAACGATGGGAAGATCAATGTCCCAGGTAGAGACCTAAATTAGTTAATATTCTATCTGACCGAGTTTCTTGCCGTGTACTTGGTGTAAGACTACCGAGTATGTTGATAGTAACAGTTGCACATCGTAGAAGAAGATTCCTAGAAACTGTTGCCCAGTAGAAGTGGGTAAAAGATAAGAGATATATTGTATTTTTACAAAGAGTGCTTTGCAAGTATGAAATGAGGTTAGTAGCCATATTTTAGATAATTTAGATGCGACTCCAGTGACATCACGTAATACTTTCTAAAAGCTTGGAGCTGTCAAGTTCTCGATCGTTTGCACCCGTTTGGATTGAATTGATTGTGTTAGAAAAGTTCGTGAGAACCTTGAGGTGGTTCCTCTTATTCCTCTTGATTTGTGATTTTTTCACGTCATCGTGCAAGTATACAGAAATATAACACATAATGGCGTCCTATGGATCACGAACTCTCTCAAGGCAGCTTTTTCTACGACATTTTGTGAGTACTGTATTATCTGACAGATTGCATAAGTTTGTGTAACTATCACGAGATGGCAGGATATCACGAACATATTTTTGGAGGGAAATGGAAACCGTTGGAAAGTTAGCGCGGGAAAATCAAAATTTGTATGTTTATAATGCTTAAAAAATTGCTCCTTAAATGCTCCATATGTTTCCGTAATTGCTCCACTGCTACTATGCAGTGATTAATAAATATTCATTAAAACAGAAAATTTTTATTTTTATTGAAATTCCAATTAACCAAGCAGATTTTCATATGAGTTTCTTGATAAATTAATTGCTCCCGATTTGCTCCCAATTGCTCCACAATTAGTTTTTTATTTAATTAATGCATCTTTAAATAATAAGTAAAATTTGATTTTCACTTAGCTCGATTGCAAACGTAAGCATTATGATTGGTTTGCGAACACACCTATGACAGTTGCGTTCTAAGATTAGCCGAGAGTGCGCGAACATCGTTGCCTCGGTTCATTTTCGAACACACTTGGTCAACTCAGGATTGGTCGATTCCTTTAGATCAGTATTAACTAAACCGGTTCAGGACCGTCGTGTAAACGTAGTTTAAGGCCTGTTATCTTCTGCGCGCTTCAATGCATAAACTACGTTTATTTTCAAAATACAATTGTCTGATTGGCTAATAGCACAGTTAAACCGAGTTTATGCATTGAACCGCGTTGAAGAAAACGGACATGAGAACTTCAAATATCCGATTAATCGATTTGAATATTTATTAATCACTGCATAGTAGCAGTTGAGCAATTACGGAAACATATGGAGCATTTAAGGAGCAATTTTTTAAGCATTATAAACATACAAATTTTGATTTTCACGCGCTAACTTCCCGACGGTGAAATGGAAGCAAAAATATAATTTCTTATTTCTTACCGGCAATCAAAGTTGATGAAAATAAGAAAATGTGATTAATTTTCACAATTTTCGTAATACATCTAATGCCAGGAAAAAAATATAAAAACTCAAATTTCAAGATTACATCTTTCACGTATACAAAACTGAATTTTAAAAAAACATTTATTTTGTTTTCAAAGGCCTTGGAGTCGCACACATCTCTAAGCGCAATACATGTAGCTGCGTTGCGACCGGAAGTGGTGCTAAGTTCAGAAAACAGGAAGTCTTGCGTACGCAATTTGAAACAGTATCTTCAGCCTCGAAGAGTAATTCAAGAAAATGCTAGCAAGGCCGCCGTATTGGTTCCGCTTTGTATACATAAAGGTGAGTTGGGCCTCTTATATACTTTGAGGTCAACGAAGTTAAATACGAATCGAGGTCAAGTTTCATTCCCCGGAGGAATGCACGATAAGAATGATTCGAGTTTGGAAGAAACAGCTTTGCGGGAAACTTGGGAGGAATTAAAAATTCCACAAGATAAAATAGACATTTGGACCAGCGGAAATCCTATTGGACGAAAGGATGTTACTGTTTTTCCGGTTCTTGGGTTTGTCGGTGAAATTGATCTGGACAATTTACAACTTAATCCGGAGGAAGTCGAAGAGGCTTTCGTTTTGAGTTTGAAGAAACTCTGTGATCCTGCTTCTTGTCACTTTACGCAATTTCGAAATACTTATAGTCTACCCAGCTATACAGGTGGTAAACACAGAGTTTGGGGACTTACTGCAGCGATTACTCATATGGTAATGTGCTCATTAGTACCTGGAATATATAAACATCGTATTTTGTACTTGCAGTCTATTGGGCAAATTAATTCGTCTTGACCTTTGTAGTCTATATCTATTAAGACTCTAATGTGATGATTTTGTTGGTTTTAATAAAGTACTATTTGAACTGATTGTTATGTACATTTATTATATATTGTGACGTACGCCGGCCATCGGCGTAGCCGACAAATAATTCACGGCTACTCCCAACGTGCTGAAAGCCGGAAAACTATCCGAGATCCGAACTAGATCGGATTGTTGGGCGCCAGGTGCGGACTCTCCGCACCGACGTTCCTCCTATGGCCGCTTCCACGCGATCTCCTGGCTGCTCAGCCTCAGCTAGCTGAAATGATAGAGGGGAACGTAGGGGCGACGAGATTCGAACAGTTCGGGGTACGCCAATGAAAACGCCGGTCGAAGTTTTAATATCCGTTTATTCAACTGTAAAGGAAAGCGGAGCCAGTACAGATCGACGTGTACAGGAAGGGCGCGTGCACTGCGCGAGGCGGTGCCCTTCCTTGCCGCAGCCCCAACACGTCGAGCGGCTCGGCGTGCGGCTACGCTGCTCGGCCGGAATGCGGGAGCAAACTTCTCCGGCGCAGATCCTCCGGGCCAGCTCCTCGACCTCGAACGGTCGCAAACGCTCTACCAGCGCCACGGCCGCCGTCAGCTCTAGGCTGTCCCGAGGGCGACTCTCGGATCTCGTTCGTGGCCGCTTTTCCTGATCGTCACGGCTTTGGGACCGTTCGCGGCGCTTCTCTCCCGCGACGGGGCCTGAGACGGGAGCACCAGAGCTAGCCTGCTCTGCTTTCTTCGTCCTCTCCCTCTCCCTCTGCGCCTTCCTTTGCAGGCGCCTCCACTCGGTCTTGTTGACCCAACCCCGTCCCGGGTAAGACCCCCCCCTCTCCCACGACGGCTCCTTGACCGCCGCTTCCCCGCCGATCCTCTCGGCAGGGTGGTCGAGGGAGAATCTTCCCCGGCCTTCCGCAGGGCGGTGCGTCCGGCGCCATCTGGACACAGGGATTCACCCTGACCTTCTTCGGAGGCGCCGGTGTCGGGACGACCTCGGCAACCGCCAAGGTCTCCTCGGCTTTGGCCGCCGAATCTCCGAGTGCCACGATTATTCGAGACGTTCCTTGGGCGACCTCGACCCTGAGTCCCGGTGCGTCCGGGAGCAGATCGACCTCTATGGCCGTCGATCCTCTCTCCCGAACCGCCGCGACCTGGAGACCTTTCTCCAGGGTCTCGCTGAGGAGGTTCTCCTCCTCCGCTCGCACCTTCTCCCTGTCCACTAGGGGCCGCAGGACTGCCATATCTTCTGGCCGCAGTCCGAGGGCTCCTAGCGCGCCCTCCACACTGGCCGACGAACTCCTCTTCGCCGGTATTGGGACTGCGGCAGGGAGACTGCTCTCGCCCGCCGCCTTCTCCCGTCCCTCCACCGCGAGCGGCGTTGGCGGGCTCGGCGCCGATTCCTCCCGGCACTCTGCCCGCTCCAACTCCTTCGTCGGTTCCGTCATGTTCCTCGGTCTCTGTAATGTCAAAAGCAGAATTAGTAGTGGCCCCTTCGGCGGGTTTAAAGGCCTTTAAGTCCTTCACGTGTAGTTTGCCCACGGAGCTTCCGGCTTCATCTACTAACTCGTACACCACCGAGGATATTTTCTTGGCAATCGTATAAGGTCCGGCGAATCACGGAGTCAGTTTCGCGGCCACATAATTCGCCGCCGATGACAATATCCGTTGCCTTTTCCACACTCGGTCGCCAACTCGGAAGGTCCGATGAGACCGCCTGGCATTATAGTACCGAGCCTGTTTTTCCCAGACCTCGGCAATATATCTTTTCGCCAGGTCCCTCATACCAGAGTTCACCGTTTCCACCGGGTTGGCCTGCGCATGATAAGGCGGCGTGGTGGAGTGGTAGATGCCAAACTCCGTGGTCATCTTCTTTACTGCTCGGTTTACGAACTCTGTTCCGTTGTCCGTGAACAGTACCTTCGGAGCCCCGAATCTGAACACTATCAGATCTTGAAATGCCTTGACCATGCTCTTCCCTACCGCTTTCCTCAGCGGCATACACTCGATCCATCGAGTGTATAAGTCCTGGAACACCAACAGGTAAGCAAATCCATTCTTACTCTGCGGGAATGGGCCCATCATATCCGCCGCCACTACCGTCCACGGCTCGTCCACTATGCGGCGTCCCATCATCCCGGCGGGTCAACTCTGCTCGACCTTCTGCGCTTGGCACACCGTACATGCTCGTACCCACCGCACGACGTCCCGATACATCCCCGCCCAATAATAGTGTTGGGCTACTCGGCGACACGTCTTCTCGACCCCCAGATGCCCAGCCTCCGGTAACGAGTGTAAGGCTTGCATCACCGCCTCCTTCTGTGCCTCTGGCACCACTCGCTTCCAGACATCCAAGTCCTCTACCAGGTCTTCTTTCCGGGGGTTCGGCAGATGATGATACAGGACTCCGTCTTCCGCCAACCATCCTGGGAACTGCTTCGGCCATTCCTCGACCGCTTTCAGCTGCTGCTCGTACCATGCGTCCTGCAGGCCGCTCACGGCCGCGGGTTGTCCCGGGTCCTCTTCGAACATCCGTGACAGCGCATCCGGTACATGATGCAGCGCTCTTTTCCTGTGCACAATCTCGTAATCATATTCCAGCAGGTCCAACGCCCAGCGCGCTAGTCTGCCGTTCGGATTCTTGAGATTGTGCAACCATTTCAAACTATGGTAGCCCGTCACCACGGTGAAATGATATCCATCCAGGTATGGTCGGAATTTCCGGATCGCCCAGATCACGGTGAGGCATTCTTGCTCCGTTACCGTATAGTTTTTCTCAGCTGTTGCTAGTCTTCGGCTGGCGAAGGCGATCACGTGTTCGCCGTCCTCTGACGTCTGCGTCAACACGGCGCCGACCCCTGATGAACTCGCGTCTGTTTGCAAAACAAACGGCAGCTGGAAATCTGGGTACGCGAGAGTGGGGGGCTCGCTCAGGGCCGCCTTCATCGCGTTGAATGCTCGCTTGATCGCTTCTTCTGCCATACCCAATTCCCACCGCTGATTTTTCTTCAGCAGCTGGAACAAAGGGACTGACATTTCCGCAAAGCCCTCGATGAACCTTTTATACCAAGAGGCCATCCCTAAAAATCTCCGCAACTGCCGGATGTCGTTCGGTGCCGGGTACTCCAGGATTGGTGCAACCTTCTCGGGGTCCATCTGCAATCCTTCCTTGTTTACCAGGAATCCCAGGTACCGGACTTGCGAGCATCTGAAATCGCACTTCGTCGGATTTATTATCAGTCCGGCTACCCTTATCCTTTCCAGGATCCTCTCCAGCCATTTCAGGTGCTCTTCAAACGTGTCGGTGACAATTATGATGTCGTCCAGGTACGCAAAGGCGTAGGGTTCCATCTCTGGTTCGATTAACCGGTCCAGCAGCCGTTGGAAAGTTGCGGGTGCACCGCTTAATCGGTACGGCATCCTTTTAAATTGGAAAAGCCCTTTTTCTGGGACAGTAAACGCCGTAAACTCGCGACTCTCTTCCGCCAGCGGAATTTGAAAATAAGCCTGGCTTAAGTCCAGCGTCGACATGAATCGGGCTGCCTGAAATTTATCCAAAATGGCCGCCATGTAGGGCAGGGGGTACGCATTCTTCGTGGACACTGCGTTCACCTTCCTGAAGTCGATGCAGAAGCGGTACTTCCCTGTCGGCTTCTTGATCATGACGACGGGACTTGACCATCCACTACTTGACGGCTCTATCACCCCATCCCGAAGCATGTTGTCTACTTCCTCATGCATGGCTTCCCGTACCTTCGGGGAGACCATGTAGTAGCGCTGCTTGATGGGTGCTAGTCCTTGCACGTCAATACGGTGTTCCGTCAAGCTCGTGAGTCCTAGAGGGGGGGTGCCCTCCGGTAATGTCCGTGCGAGCAGCTCTTCCATTCTTCCGGTTTGGCTCTCGGTCAGCTCGGACAGCCTTGCACACTGCCCTCCGTCGTCCCCGATGGCTTCGATCAGCCTCCCCCGGGAATCCCTCTCCTCCATTCTCAGGTAGTAGGTATCCCGAGCATGATCGATCACCATCCCGAAGAGCTTCATGAAGTCTCTTCCTAGGATACAAGCGTATCCTAAACCAGGCACCATCCGTACTTCCAACACTCCCTTCTTCGTCCCCAAGATCGTCCTTACCCTGACGTGTCCCTTGACCACCAGGCGGGTCCTATCCGCGACGGCAACGGTTTCCGGTGGATCGGCCGTCTCTGTCGGCCGATGCTCCGCCCATGCCGCAGCCAGATTACCACCGAAGTAGGAGAGTGCTGAGCCTGAGTCCAGCAACGCGAACGTTTCCCGCTCTCCGAGGACAATGAGCATGAAATGCCTGGAATCCCCAGGTCGAGTTATAAGGCCCCGTGCAACTTTCATTTGGAGCTGAGGGGGTTTGCCCCCGAGTACTTCACGTACTCCGGCGGAGGCAGCACTCGCTCCTCGTATGCACTTCACTTGCCGTTTCCCGACCGGTAACCAGGACATCTCGGGCACGTTTTCCGTTCCACTCCGGGAGCGCCGCAACGGATGCAGAAAGGCCTTTTGGGATCATCGCAATCCGGGTGGCAATGTTCGTCCCGACCGCAGTTCCAACAGGCTGGTCGACCGCCGTATCGTCCACCAGCTCCCTTTTCCTTCCCGTCACCCAGCGTCGGAGTACCCTTCTTGATATCCGGATGCTCACGTTCCGTCACCTTCTTCCATGGCTTTGTAGTTTCAGAGGAGGTCTTCCTTTCGTCGGGCTCTACGGCAGCTGGCCCCTTTCGGGCCCGCGTCGTCTTCGACTCCCTCCTCTTTCGGGATGCGTGACGATACCGCCGACTCTCATCTGGGCTGTCGCTGCTGGTTGACGAGTCCCTTCTCCGACGATACTCGTAGCGGGTCTCCTCGTCACTCTCTTCAGAGGATGCGGAGGAGGTATCCCGACGTCCTCTCCTCCCATGTCCTCCCCTCGAGTCCGTTCGGCCCCGACTTTTCCTACGAAAGCCGTCCCTCGGCCCTCGGGAATCCCATCGTTCTCGCCTTCGGCCTCGAATGAACTCCTCCGTCTCCTCCAGTTCTGCCCCTATTCGCAT